TGGCGCTGCTGACCGTCTGCCTTTCGGTGCCGCCGTCGTCGCTGTCGCTGGCGTTGTCGGCATTGTTGCTGCCTCTAAGTGCATGAGCGACATGTCATGGGATAGGAGATGGAATGGATTTTTGTATCAAACCCGGGCTATAGCCTCTTCTTAATGTCTGCCTGTCTAGGCAGAGCTATCTAGTTTCCAACCCTGAATCCCACGTCATAAATCATGAGTTCCACATTGTGCCCTTGCTGAGACCCTGATGCTCGACTCCTAAGCAACCACTTGGTTCAGTAGTCCCGGACAGGCCAAGGAGCCTCGATCTTTGCCTTCTCGGGATTGGTGCACCTGTCCGCCAGCGCAGCCTTGGCCTCCGGCGAGTCAAACGGCACGCAGTCCACACCGAGGCCGCCTTCAACGCCGTCACAGATGATAACCGACGGTCCGCCGCAGGGCGACGTGACGTTAAAGTTGACAAACTTGACATTTTCGCAGCCCGCGCCCTCAGCAGGCGAGCAGCTGACGCGCGCAACAGCACGACCGCGGACGCCGGACGAGTAGCCCTCAAAATTCTCAAACAGGACGTTGGAGACCTTCATCTTGGATGGGAACTTGCGGCACGTCTCGGCATTGACGTTGAAGTAGCACGAGTCGAGGAAGATGGGCCAGTCGTCGTTGGCCGAATAGAAGTTGCGGAACGTAATGTTGTCAACGAATCCCTCGGCGACGTTCTCACCGGCCCAGACCTTGATGCGGGCGCCGTTGTTACCGTTGAGCATCCAGACGTTCTCAATGACGACATCCTTGACAATGACATACTCGCCCTCATATTGGCCCAGGGAACCGATCGACTGTCCGTGTGAGTTGTTGCAGTACATTGTGTCGACGTGAATGTCGGTGCTGTTGGTCTTGGGCGAGAAGCAGTCGTCGTCCGAATCGACCCAGACGCGGTTAATGCGAATGTGGTCAACGTTGAGAGAGTTGAAGAAATCGCCGTTCTTGGGCTCGACACCGGCGCGGTTCGATTGCGCTGAGATGATTACGTCCTCGTAGAAGATGTTGGTTGCTTTCGAGGTCAGCCTTTGCCATTCCGCATCAGTAGATGGGGAGACGTACAATCGACGATGAAGTTGTGCCAAACGGGCGAATTCTTCATGAGAATGCCTTCAACGTGCAGGTTGTCAATATGCTCAGCAAAGAAAAGCACAGGGCGGAGGTAGTCATTGTCGGGGTCAAGGATTCTGCCTGTGTCAGTCTCGCGTCTGCAGTCAATCAAAATGAAGAACACTGACTCGGCGCCCGAGAACTCATTCCACCAGCGCTGGCCCTGTCCATCGATGGTACCCTCGCCATAGATCCTGACATCCTTGCCACCCCATTTCCAGAACATGAGCGAGCGCTGAAAAGGGTGGTAGAAGGCGTTCTTCTGCCACTTCTCAACATTGTCGGTGAACTGGATGGTGCCCTCGAGGTGGATGTGAATGTCGTTGAGGAAGGTCAGATCGAGGGGCTCATCGATGACGAAGAGCTGATCCTTGGGCAGATAGACAGCACCACCGTTATTGGCGCTCTTGATGGCATTGAGAAGGTCGGCCGAGATATCGTCCTCGGCGTTCTCGGAGGCGCGAGGCGTGAAGGTCTTGCGGCAGTGGGGAGCACGCTTCGCAACAGGATGCTTCTCACGGAACTCTTGAATATTGCGAGGAACGCCAGCGGGGAGGTCGACGGCTACGGCGATCACCGAGGTAGCAGCCGCAAGGGCAGTGAAGAGGGCGGAGACCTTCATCTTGGGCGTTCTGGGCGTGCTGTTGAACGGGGGCTTGATGGCACTGGGTCGAATTCAGCGTGATCCGACAGAGAGTCTGGCCAGGTAGAGCAGCCGACGACTCTTCTTATACTCTGAACGCGCTGCATCATGGTGTTGGCGCGATGTCTCGTCTTGGCGCTGCGTTCTGTGTGGATATTGCTCTCAATGTGCGATATTCTGCACCTTTGCGGTGTCGGAAACCTTTCGGATGGCTGGTTCGGGAGCTGCCCCCGGGAAAGTGGTGATGCCAAGCATTTTAAATATGTACCCAGGAGAGTAGTTCCCCGCAGTCGCGATGACCCTGGTCAATTGCTGGTTCGCTCTGGTGCCGAGTTGGCGATGAAGATGCTGGGAAGGCTTCCACTGATGGATTCGCGGTGACGGACGGACCCATTGTAAGCAAGGCGAAGCGAGGTTCGACCTATCCAGACGTGCCGTTCCTTTGGTAGCCTTGGTTCGTGACAATGGCATACATCATGGTCGAGGCCATGAAGAGTCCGGCTAGGCGTGATGATGGGGAATGTTGCTTGGAAGGGGTTGATGGTTGGCGGGATATCTATGTGGTGGAGTTGGCGGGGAAGGCAATCGCGACGGAGAAATTCCCCACGATCTTTCTCCTCTTATCTTGTTCTTGTCACTCTCACCCGCCCCACTACGTGATCAGATCAGCCATACTCTGTCGTTACCTCATACGCCTACTGCTACCAAAGATCGTCGAGACGTAGAATACCAAGACGTCCTACAAATACCAAGATGCCACCACTCCCGACCCAGGGCATTTCACAACGTCAGGTCTTGGCAGAGCCTCCAAGCCACCAGGCGCCACACTCGACGCCAATGCTCTAGATGCCGAGTATCCATCCTCTCTGGGCCAACAAACAGTCGCCGGGACCCTTGGACAACAGACTGCCGCCCCCCATGGACCGCCAAGAGTCTGCCCCCGCCATCTGCCTTTATCCTGTCGCTCTTGATCCGGCCAGAGTCCCTCTCCATTGGCGTACCTGGCCAACGTGCCTGGCCAAGGTGCCAACCCATGGCGCGCAGCTTTCGGTACGCTACCGACGAGCAGACGTAAGCTTCGTGGAGATCATGCCTGCCAACCGCCTTGGGACCTGACAACAGTGGATGGAAAATCGTCTTCCGATGCTGCTTATCTGGATGTGGCACGCACTCGGACGCGTTGCTACTTCTTCTTGGCTGCGGGTGCCCTGGCTTGCTTGACCAGCGCCTTTGAGCGTTGCCTCTTAGGGGCACCGGACCGACCCATCGCCATGGTTGCGAGGTGATTCCGGAAAACCAAGAAATACTGATTGCGGGGTCGGCAGAAGGCGGAAAACCGCGCTCTTCGCAGACCCATCACCGACCGGCTCTTCGGGACATCGTAGGCAGGCGGGAATTCGAAGAAAAAAGGCAGCATGCCCTGAAGGCAATTGCATTACGTTGTCTGTCAACGCTGAAATCCATGTCACACCCGCACGCCTCAGTACCCATTACGCCCTCTGCTTCTCGTTCGCTTCTCATCCCGGTCAATAAATCAATTCGGATCATGCCGAGGCGCAGTGCCCTCCATCCACCCGAAGGTCGGCACCCGTCATGAACCGGCTACCCTCCGACAGCAGGAACACAACCGGCGCTTTGAAGTCTTCGGGTACGCCAAGTCGGTTGAGCATGGCGCCGTGCATCCACGTCTTCTCGACTTCAGGCTCAGCCGCCAGAAGCTCGTCCGTCATTGCCGTCCGGATGTACTGTCATGGACTTGTCAGCGATGAAATGATAGGGAAGGAGTGGAATCTTACACCAGGCGACAACGTGTTGACTCGGATGCCGTACTGGCCCCATTCTTGGGCTAGCGAGCGGCACATCTGCTGGACAGCCGCCTTGCTCGTGTTATAGGCCGAACATGTCAGGCCCTGAAGCTGTCAGTCACCCTTCTCGCGAAGTAACCAGACGGTCGAGTACGTACCCTGTTGGCAATCTGCCCCGACATGCTCGCAATGAGCACGACGCTACCTTCTCTCTTGCGCTCCACCAAGATCCTCGCTGTCTGCTTGGCCGTCACGAAAACACCCACGACGTTCACCCTCTGGATCCGCTCAAAGTCGGCAACAGGATAGTCCAGCGCCGGCACCTTCTGTTGAATCCCCGCACAGGCAATGGTGCCGCCAAAGGGCGCACCGCGGGCTTCCGCGGCGGCGTCAATGTCCTCCAGAACGGCCCGCGTGGCGTCCTCGTCCGTCACATCGCAGCGATGATAGGAGACGTGCTGGCCACGCGCGGCGGCGAGCTTGGTCAGGTGGTCCCACTCGACAGGCGAGGGTGACTCCAGAATGTCGAGACAGGCGGGATGGCCTCCCGCCTCGAGGACGGCGAGGGCAAAAGTGATGCCGAGGCCACGACCGCCTCCTGTGATGGCGATGGTCTTGGATGACAGAGAGAATAGGCTCGTGACTGGTGTTGAGGATGCCAAGGGATCCTTCTGTTCAGGGAGAGGATACTCTGGCGAGGCCGGTAGCGCGATGTCGCTGGTTGCTGCTGGGGGAGCCATGTTGCGATTGTAGTTGCGTGAGTACTGAAGTGAAGAGCTTGTGTATAGCTTCAGGTGCACGCTTTTACCCAGGTCGGAAATGATGGGCTAATAGATGAGAGGATCGGGACGCTCTTGGGCACGCTGAAGTCATCGTGGGCAAAGCAAAGAGCTACTTGCCATATCCATATATGAGGGCATGGGCAAGTTGGGGAAGTTCGCTTGGACTTTCATGGCAGCTGCAATCGGCGAAAGCATGAATTCCGTGCCAATTAATGATGAAGGTCGAAGCGCAGCTGCAAGCGCATGCAGAAACGTACAATGTATGGTCTTGTCTTGTGGCCACAGGAACTGTTGGGGTTCTCGGATCCAGAGCTGGGGCAGTTGCAAGCGCAAACAGTGGCGAACTCAAGATTTCGGGGGTGCTTCGGAGTGGTAACCCCTCCAACCTCCCTACCAGCGGGACCTAAGGGCGACTGCAAGGAGCCCCGCCCCTAACACGGCGGGGCTCGACAGAGTGAGGAGGGGTCATCTGCACTTCTTCCCTCTTGCATCTTCTGCCTCAAAACATGAGGATTGAGACGATGAATGGGCATTCCTTGCGCTTGGTAAAAACGCTCGAGATGGAGTTGTCATTTCCGCCATCATGACCATTATGTTCGCTACTCAGACCTCAAACCCGATCTGGTCGCCCTCCGACTGAAGAGTACTTCAAGCAGCTCGACTCAGGCGTCGGCCCCGCCTCGAAGCCTAGCCCGGCGCTTGGGAATTCTCCTTTCGTTGGGTCTTGTCCAGGTTCTTTCTCAATTCCGTAATGTTTGGCACCGGAGAACCACTTCGTCCATGTACATCCCATTTCGGTCTTCCGAGCCACCAGCAAGACATGTCCGGCCTTGGCTGCCGATATATCTAGATATATCTAATGGGCTTCAATGCTCATGGGGGCTGCCTCGTGCTTTCCTGTGTCCTCCACTGTCAGGATTCATTAGCCGTTCTCAACACTCTGTCGACGACGTTGCTTTCTCACGGCACTCGAAAATTACCGAACATCAGACGGATCTAATACCTGCACAATGGCACCTAGTGCAGTCCCTGTCGACCAGGGGCTTGTCGACCTCAACGCCATTTCTGCCGTCAACGGTGCTAAGCAACCGAACACCTTCTCGCTTTCGGCCACACAGAAAAACGAAGTTGATCATGTCCTCAAGACGTTCCGCTGCCTCATTGCCGATTTGTGCGAGCAGTTCAAGGGTGGCCACCCTGGCGGTGCCATGGGCATGGCCGCCATTGGTGTCTCGCTATGGAAGTACATCATGAAGTACTCGCCATCAAATCCCAACTACTTCAACCGGGATCGCTTCGTCCTATCCAACGGTCACACATGTCTCTTCCAATATACATTCTTGCACTTGACGGGCTACAAGAACATGACGCTCGACCAGCTCAAGTCCTACCACTCGACTCGTACCGACTCCATATGCCCTGGGCACCCCGAGATCGAACACGAGGGCATCGAAGTGACAACGGGTCCTCTGGGTCAGGGTGTCGCCAACGCTGTCGGTCTCGCCATGGCCACCAAGCATCTTGCTGCCACGTACAATAGGCCTGGTTACAATGTGGTCGACAACATGACATACTGCATGATTGGCGATGCCTGTCTGCAGGAAGGCGTAGCTCTCGAGGCCATCCAACTTGCAGGCCATTGGAAGCTCAACAATCTCGTCATCATGTATGACAACAACCAGATCACCTGCGACGGTAGCGTTGATCTCTGCAACACAGAAGACGTCAATGCGAAAATGGAAGCTTGTGGCTGGGACGTCGTGTCCATCGAAGACGGCAATTGGGATGTCGAGGGCATCGTCAAGGCCCTTACCCGAGCTCGTGCTAGCCAAGAAAAGCCTACATTCGTCAACATCCGCACAGTCATCGGCGTCGGCAGTGCTGTCGCTGGCGATGCCAAAGCCCATGGCGCGGCTTTGGGTGTCTCTGATGTCGCAAACATCAAGAAGAGCTTCGGCCTGGATCCTGAGAAGCATTTCCACGTCTCCGAGGAAGTTTACAATTACTTCAGTGAGGCCAGGGAGCGTGGTGCAAAACTCGAGTCGGACTGGAACAAGCTCCTCGACAATTACAGTGGCGACTTCCCTGAGCTGGCTGCTGAGTTCAAGGATCGTGTTGCTGGTCGGTTCACCGCCGACTACAAGTCACTGATCCCCGCCAAAGAGGACTTGCCTACCACACCCACGGCGTCCAGGAAATCGGCCGGTCTGGTGTGCAACCCGCTGGCAGCCAAGCTTCAGAATATGATGATTGGCACCGCCGATCTCTCGCCGTCGGTTAACATGATCTGGAAGGGCAAGGTTGATTTCCAAAATGTGAGTTCGTGCTGTGTCTTTTCCAAGAGTGCGCTTGCTAATTAATTACAGCCCAACCTGAAGACAGCTTGCGGGATCAACGGCGACTACTCTGGCCGTTACATCCATTGGGGCATCCGCGAGCACGCGATGGCTTCCATCTCCAACGGTCTCGCTGCCTTCAGCAAAGGCACGATCCTTCCCATCACCTCCAGCTTCTTCATGTTTTACATCGTGAGTACTCTGTTCCTGCTTTTTGCTTTGTGATCATCTGACCAAGATAGTACGCCGCTCCTGGTGTCCGCATGGGTGCCCTGCAAGGCCTGCAGCAAATCCATATCGCAACGCACGACTCTATCGGTACAGGCGAGGACGGCCCTACACACCAGCCTATTGCTCTCGCGTCACTGTACCGCGCCATGCCGAATATCCTCTATATCCGTCCCTGCGACAGCGAAGAGACGGCAGGCGCCTTTTTGGCTGCACTAGACGCTCCTAATACTCCGTCCATCATCTCCCTTTCCCGCCAAAACCTTGAACAATACCCCGCTCACACATCCCGCGACGGTGTTCTTCGTGGCGCCTATGTTTTCCAGGAAGTCGCGGATGCGGACGTCACCCTGATCGGCATCGGCGCCGAGATGGTCTTTGCCGTCAAGACGGCTGCACTCCTAGGCGAAAAGTTCGGCATCAAGGCGCGCATCGTCAGCTTCCCGTGCCAGCGCCTTTTCGAGAGGCAGAGCATCGCGTACAAGCGAGAGGTACTCCAGTACAGGAGCAAGGCGCCACGCGTCGTTATCGAAGCCTACGCCGTCAACGGGTGGGAGAGGTATGCCGATGCCGGTTGGTCCATGAGCACATTCGGGCACTCGCTGCCCGGACCGGCGGCGTACAAGTACTTTGGGTTCGACGAGGCTGTCATTGCACCCGAGGTTGCAAAGCTTGTCGAGGAAGTCAGAAGGGAGGGCGTTGAGAGTTTGAGGGGCGAGTTCAGGGATCTGAACAACACAAGGCATTGATGACGGGCGCTGGACGAAACTGACATTTGCAGATGGATGGCTAGGGAGATCACGGAGTTGGAGGCTGCATGTTCTAACAAGTTGTTACCCGAAAATAATGAAGTACTATTTTCAAAGGTCGTCGTCAGCTAAGCTGCAGGACATTGAAACCCAGTTGTCATGGTCAGTCCAGCTCTGGTCGACGACGCGACAGGGGCAAGAGGGGACATCAGATGAGCGAGATGGCAATAGCGAGTCACTTGGTGAGCGGGTTACATCCGTCGGGACGATGATCTTGGCTCAGAAAGCTTGGCTAACCGCTTTCGCTGTAGTACGTCTGTCGCCCTGAAGCAAGGCGCTTCCAATTGCCATTGATCGTCGTCGGTTTGAGTCAACAGCTTTCATGACCACTCACCCTCCACACCACCTTTCTTGGCCAAGTGCGCTTCGAGTTGCCCTCCCTTCCTCACACGTAGAAGCTATACTGGCCATTCTCACCGCATCACGACAAACGACCGGGAGGACACGGCGAAGCACTGGCGACAGTGCCACATCAATCTTCTGTTAAGCGGCTCGACATTTGTCCTTACGTCTCGGCAGGCTCATGAACTCGGCAGTGATGCCCATCTAATGGGGGCCGCTCGCTTGCCAACCACATCACCCCTCCCAACATGCCTGACGGAACAATCTCTTCACTCTCGCCGTCGTCTCCTCTCTCTATATCCATACCGAGGTCGAAACATAAGAAGAAGCGAACCCGCACAGGGTGCCTCAATTGCCGTCGCAAGAAGCGCAAATGCGATGAGGCCCATCCCGCGTGCGGCGGCTGCGCTCGGCGGAGAGAGGTGTGCCGATGGGGCCTCAAGGTGACGTTTCGGGACGAAAACGCGCAGACCATATGTAGGGATCACCCGTCTATGAAAGCGCCGAAGAGGCGACCGAAGGGGTTCGAGATCCTAGACGTCACGGATGAAGTCATTCGGGAGTATCACAACCCAATTGACTTCGAGGTGGACAGTGAGGAGGGGGAGTCACCGCGATGCCAAGCCGTGCCGTCGCCTGTGAGGAGGAGGTACGAGGAACCAAGAGGCAATCGACAGCTTTGCTTGCCGATGGAGAGTGCAAATCTTAGAAACCAGGAACCGACCGACTTGGCCGACTTTGGGGACTCCCCTTCGGCAGCCTCGCACATTATCACTGACAGCGCTGTCGCCAACCTCCTGCTCTTCAGCCAAGGTGGAGCGAATGCGTCGCATGACCTGGCAAGCTCCTTATCACAGCACACCCAATTTGACTCGTTGGAAAGGCTACCGGTGAACCCTATTGTCCACGAGTCCCCGAGTCTCGAACACGTCTTTGAATTCGGGGAACAGCTCTTCAGCCCTGAAGGGTCGTACGACGATGGCATCTTCCTGCCGGGATCGGCTTACCATGAGCTGCACTCGACCCTCAGGAACCACCTCATCCAGGAGGTGAGGTCTAACGTTCCAACACGACCTGGAACCCCAACCCAAGGCGTTGAAAATGTCTACAAAGAGCACTCCGTCAGGTCGGGCACATCTTCAACAAACGACGAAGTTTTCATCCAGAACGACCTAGCCTCGGACCATGAGCCCCCGAGACTATCCAAACAAGAGGAGATTGTGCTATGGAAGAACTGGTTCGAAGAGATATCGCCCTGGCTAGACAAGTTCGACAACCAGTGTAATTTTCAAAACGTGCTGCCCACCATAGCTCGCGATCACGACCACTTGCGATACTCCATGCTCGCCCTGTCGGCTCGACAGCTCGAGCTCAAAGACTCCAACCGAGCCACAGACCGCAGTCTCGCCCTTTACCAGGAAGCCATCCACCTGCTTCTCCCCCAGCTCTCGACCCGAACGACACCAGTCATCGCGTCCTGCGTCGTCCTCTGTGTTCTTGAAATGTGCAGCTGCTCCCCCAAAGCCTGGCGCCGTCATCTCGACGGCTGCGCCAGTCTCATGGAAGCCGTGCAGATGACGGGCTTCTCCGGCGGCCTGGAGCAGGCCCTCTTTCTGGTGCTTTCGCCCGCATGGACGTCTGCGGCGGCCTCATCTCCCTCCGTCAAGACCCTCATCCCCGCCTCCCGCTGGACCGGCTCCTCGCGCAGCGCCCTCATCGTCCCTCGACGCCGACGTCGTCCTTCTTTCCGCTCGATCCACGACGTTCGACATGTGGGCCAACTACTCCGTCTACCTCGTCGCCCAGGTCCTCGATCTCCTCGCACCCCTTGCCGCGGCTAAACCCGGGCGGCCTCTTCTTCGACGGGCCCCGCAGCGACGCCGGCTACCGCACGTCGTGGGCGCGCCTATGGCGGCACGTCGAGGCCTGGCACGCCCTTCGCCCGCCCGCGATGCACCACGTCCTCGCGACGCCGTCGACGCCCTCGGACCCGTTCCCGACCGTCCTCTACAGCAATGCAGCCGCCGTGTCGGGCAACCAGCTGCACCACACGGCCGCGCTGCTGATGCTGCAGAACCGCCCGCCGGGCCTGAGGCTCGCGCCGCGCCCGAGGTCGGCCCTCTGGCACGCGCGGCGGATCTGCGGGATCAGCATGACGAACCACCACCACGGCGCGTGGACGAATAGCATCCAGCCGCTGTGGATCGCTGGGCGGTGTATGAGCCACCCGGCCGAGCATGCGGCCATCCTGGAGCTGCTGGGGAGGATCGAACGGGAGAGTGGGTGGGGGACTAAGTGGCGGGCGGATGATCTTAAAGATTTCTGGGGGGATCTGGGCGAGGATTGAGGACTTTCTTTACTGATATTTTTCGGCACAGGCGGTATTGAGCTGGATAAGTTGTCGTGACGTTATCTTGCTTCACCGACTGGATGTATCGCATTGTAGATGGACGTCAGTGGAGTGGTCTGAGTGAGGGGACACTGTATGCTTGTAAGCAGAGGTATGGAACAAGGTGATCGAACAGTAAGTGAAATTCAATGAGAGAAAACCAAGGACAGCAGTTTTCGGTGTATGCCAGGCGACTTCTGGTATTACAGAGGTCGTTGCAATACGTTTTATCACCTATCTTCCTCACATGACAACCAGTAGTCCAGGCCAGCACTGCTACCGGTCTTTTATAGCGTCGGATGTGCTATGACCTTTCAGCTTCACATCGACACCGCTTCTCCCTGACATTCACGCCCGCGACTCGATCTCCGCACATCGCCTAGGTCCAGGACGTCAACAGCAAGTCGGCATCAGCCACGATGCTTGAATCACGCCCTGAAGCAGGCCCGACCATTGAGGCGGTGTCTGAGTTTGATGGAGATATGACCTGCTACGCAATCACGGAATTTACCTGGAGCGATCTTGACACAGACTCTACTATGATTGTCATGTGCAATAGAAAGAATCAGCCGGTCTCTGGCTGGGGATGCAGAGGGCTTGGCCAACATTCTGAAGACCATCGGTGTTCAGAGTCTTGATTTAGAACGAGGTTGGCAGCAAAGCAGACCAGACTTTGTCAGTGTCGTCGCCGCGTTCTGCGGGACGTCTCTCAGCGCATGCCTTTCCAGAGTCTTCCACAGATGCTCTCTGATGTCCTGGCTGTTAAAGGTTACCGGTTGTCACATTTAGGGGCAAAGGTTAAGCAGACCTTGAGCTGCCACCCCTATTCCTGTGGGAACTTTCCCCTTCTTCAAGCATCGACGTCTCGGGAGGACTGAGGAGATACTATGGCGCTGCTTGTGATCCTGATGCGTGGTACGATACATTGATGAATAACATATCCCTGAGAGCTAGGTCCAGCACAATGACTTTAAAAGAGATCCTCTGTAGAGAAAAGGATGTTTATCCTAAACATCTGAAGCTCGAGTGCCTGGATTATTCTTGATACAGCGAGCATACGCAATCAACGTGACTACCCATGAAGTTTGCGCATTGGCAAGAGAGAGACAGGAAAGTCACGACATTGGTCCTAAACCACATATTATTTACACTCTATTCATTGGGCTTACGGAGTGCTTGAAAACCGGCGCTTTCAATCTTGCATTTCACGATTCACCTCAGGATTGGCGAGTATCGCCGCTGTAGGAGCCTACTGGCGCAATGAAACATCAATACTGGCCAGGGACGAGATCAGAAGCGCCATCGCCCTTGAATCTCACGCTCTGAGTCTGCATGTTGGGCGTAATAGTTTTGAGCCCCATCCCGTCGGTTGTAGTCCTCACGTTCGCCAAGCCAGGCGTGCAGTGCAAGTCTGGTCGGCTAAGCGGGCAAACGTCATGGCACCGGCGTTCTGGCGGGTGAGGAAGTTCCACGCGATCACCCTAGCAATGTGTGCCCACGCCCGGCTGCGGACTTGACCCTCCGGCTCGGGCGATCGGCGACGGATCCGACGCTGCTGCGCTTGCAATTGCTCTACCAGGCTGCAAATTGACTGCCGAGGATTGTTTCACCCAATGTTGGCCGATCTCGCGAGTCATTCTGGCCCAGGAAAATGGTCTCATCAGGGCTGCGTACATGAATCTCTTCTGCCCGTGGGGTCCCCGCGAGTGTGGAGAGAGAGGCCCGAAGGCAGGAATAATGTGGAATGATGCGGTGTGCGTCCGACTCGTTCTGATACCCGGTCAATGTCTGGTGGCATTGGGGTGATTATAACTAGCAACGAGACCCACGATCCCCGGACTCCAAGCAAATCAACATGATACCTTCCCAGCTTTGAAAGCGGTCTTCCACTTGATTCATCATTTCGTTTTGTTGATCGCACCGTTTGACGCAGAATTTCCATTTGTTGTTCCAAGCTTTGTCCCGTCGTCCCCTGTCCCGAAGGCTGCAACAGAACACCATGGTTTTCCTCACGGGGAAAGCCCTGCAAACGCAGATCACGATAGCCGCAGGCTCGGGATTCTTGCTCTTCGGCTTTGATCAAGGTGTTATGAGCGGAATGCTCACCGGCGATGCCTTTACGCGAACCTTTCCTGAGATCGACACAAGCGACAATGCCAATGGCAGCGCCAACTTGCAAGGCCTCGTCGTTTCAATTTACGAGATTGGCTGTCTTTTCGGTGCTCTGATCTGCCTGTTCTGGGGTGAGCAGCTCGGTCGTCGCTGGAGTATCATGATCGGCTGTGTTGTTCTAAGTGTCGGTGCCGTGCTTCAAGCGTCGGCCTATGGCATCCCGCAAATGATCATTGGAAGAATTGTCGCTGGGCTGGGCAACGGCATGAACACGAGTACCATTCCTGTTGGCAT